GTCTCTTTGAACTCCACACCGCCTCAGCTGATAAGTGCTGCGGCAAGTGCCTCTGCAAACCCCGCGCCGCTTCGCTCGCCCGCCGGCGTTGTAGCTGACGCTTTTTGGGGAATTTTGGCACTGTTTCTGCGGAGCACAGTGGGTCCAACAGGCTCTTTTAGCAGCGCAGAGGCAGCGGGCAAAGGGCTATGTCTCGGTCCGTGCGCTGCACGACTGCCTGCCTGTTTTCGGAGGGGGCAAACCCGACTCGCCCCTGGTGTAAGCTGGTCATGGGCAAGATGGTCACACCCAACCCTCAGCGTGGCTGCAACTCGGCAGTGGCTCTGGGACTCAAAGTCTGTCTCTCCCCAACAACCACGCGGCCCATGCCACGTGCTCGCTCCTGCCCGCGCAAAACCCAGCCCAAGTCCATTGTTAGGTTCTCTTGGTCTGCACGAGGTTCTCCCCCAGCCCTGTGTCTGTTCCCGGTGTCTGGGGAAGTTCTTTGCCTGTTAGGGCTCGTGGGGGGGAACAGGAGGTTTCAAGTTTTGGACAAGTTTGAGTTTCTTTGTGAGATTTTTAAGGTGTCCACATCTTCCATCTTTGCTTTCTCTCGAGCTCTCTCCAAATTTTTTTCAAGTAGTCACACTAAGGATTCTGCTTAGCAGAAATCCCGATATAGTTATTTCTATCCATTTTAATGGTCCGACCAGCTTGGTTTGTGTGGTTTCTCTTAAATATTGCCTCAATGCTTTTGCATTTATGTCTATTTCCCTTCAATTTAAACTTTTCATGCCAACTTCTTACCTGGGCTCTACTGTAGCTTTGCTTTTTCTTTCTCTCACTCTGCCAGGTCTCCTGTGCGCACAAAACTCAGATTCTTGGAGCTCCCAACGCAGTCCCTACAGCACAACGTCCCAGTCTGCTTTCCCACTGATATCTGACATCTTTTCTTTAACGACGTCCTCTGCCCAATTTTAGCTCAGTATGCGACTTCCTCGCTTTTTTTCCGGAAAAATGTTCCTCAGCTTTAAAACAAGCTCATGCGAATGCTACCGTAATTGTCCTTGTTTTAAGGCAGTCTCTAATCTTCCCTGTTACAGGGAGTGCCCCAGTTCTGGGTGCCAGATATGCCTTTATTAATATAATAAATAAATAAATCCATACGACCTGGCTGATTGGGGTTCCAACAACCAAATCCATTTATTGGAAGCAAACAACGCCTTTTATATGCACTTCAAAGCAACACCTGACTGCCTTCATTAATCACCATGGGGTATCTCCCTGCCCATGTGCATTGGAGTACATTTGAGACTACATCTCCCAGGGTGCCTCATCTAGCATCCGTAAAACATGCCTCTTACACTGTGAGATAGGATAATCCTTCTTATCATGCCAATGTCCTCCCTTGCATGAGGACTCTGCTGTAAAAATCCCTCCGGGGAACCTCAAAGACACACGAAGACACATCTAGCCTGGGCTATTCGTCTCAAATGTTGGACCATGATGGACCATGTTCTGACACAATAGGCAGCTGTAATGTCTTAGGAGGTGTCAGAGACTCCATGACATGTCTCATGACACCATCCATTGTAAAACTTCCCTCCCCATGCGTGGTACAATACGTTACTACTTGAGCTTGAAGTACAAAATAACTTATGAAATCTTTGAGTTTGGTGAGCTTCCCCGACCCCCAACGGATTAAGAGCATCACTTCAACCAATAGACATGAAAGGTGCAACTACCAAGTTCTAGCTCTGGATCCAGCAGGTGGTGACTATATGTATGTTTCCACTTTTATCCTTTCTTCGTCTTCCTTTACTTACACATTTCCTTCAGTGTTATTTTTATGCTTTAATATTGCTACATTACTATAGATGATAACACCCAAAATGGCAACATACCTATTTACCTTTGAAACAAAATTGTTTTAAAATAAATGCTACATATGTATATTTACAAACACTAATTATTCGGAGTTGTTTCACTCTAATCTACCCCAAGGGATTTATTAACAAGAGCCTGGATTATCCTCCCTTTCTGGAGCAGGTCATAACATCAGGGTGAGCCATACTTGATATAATCATTTGTTCAAGTCAACAGAATGTGGATGTGTTTTGTGACTGGAATGTACTAAATAAGGTCATAATAAAGATGTAATGACACTTGCCTAATAATTCTAAAACCCAGTGCAATCCAATCCAAACATACTATATTTAAAAGCATGATCATCTGAAAAAGGGGTGAAAAAGGGGGAAATCCCTGTGTCCAAAGAACTCTCACTGGGAGTCTGCATTGTGGTTATTTCAATTGTTCATAAAATCATAGAATGGTTAGGATTCAAGGGGACATTAAAAAAACACCTAGTTCTGCCACGGCCCGCAGGGAAAGGGGATATAGGGACCGGGCATTGCACAAAGGGATCTTGACACAGCAGAGGTCAGTGAAGCAATGCCGACTTTATTAGGGGAGCATGAGACTTAAATAGGGTAGGATAAAGGGGTGGAATCCAGTAAGGGGAGGAGTTTAGGATTGGCATCTCCGGGGTACACATGATAGGGCGGCTGGGTAAGGAAGGGGGGAGTTTTAGTGCTACCGGGGAAATGGACCAATGGTAGCTCTCCCTGCACTGCAGCACTCAGTGGCCAGTCAGGTGCAGGGGAGCGGGAAAACAGGGGGAACAACAAGGTTTAGGCGGGAAAACTGTGAGGGGAAGAAGAAGAAGACAATATGGAGGATAGGATTTTAAAACAACAACTAGGGTACGCACAACACTATAACCATATAACAATAAACTGGGGATAACAGGGGAAACTGTCCAGTTCATTGTAGAGCCATATCCAGTTGATAAATGTCCATTTTGGTGTAATTGCGTCTCATTCCGGGCTGTATATCTGTCTCCAAGCTTGGAACTGTTTTCCATTCATCTTCATGGTCCCCAACGTAGTTCCAAGCCCTCTGCCATGGGCAGGTGCCACAACCCGGGGGTGAGGAATGGGGTTGAGCACTGCAATAAGGGTTCTTGGCACAGAGAGGTCTGGTGAAGCAATGCCAATCTTTATTAGGGAAACAGTAACTTATATAGGGTAGGTTCAGGGGTGGAGTTTGGGCTAGGGAGGAGCATGAGATTGGCAACCCAGGGATGAAGGTAATTGGGTAACTGGGAAAGGAGGGGAGGAGTTTTAGGTGTGGCTAGGGAAATGGGCCAATGGTAGCTGCCTCTGCATTGCACCAAACACTGACCAATGGCAGGCAGAGGAGCGGGAAAACAGGGGTTTTGGCGGGAAAACTGTGAGGGGAAGAAGAAGACAATATGGAGGATAATTTTTTGAAACAACAACTGGGGTACAAACAACAGCAAACCCGTACAATAACGCAATTGGGGAACTGGGGATAAACTTGGGGTAACAGATATGACTGTCCAGTCCGTATATAAGTCCAGTTCGTTAAATATTTGTCTTAATCTGGGTTGTAGACTTGTCTCCATGCCTCATACTGTCTCTTTTCCTCCTCGGAGACCCCAACATCTCCCCCTTCTTTGTTTTCTTGGAGCGCGGTGATGTTGGCGGTGATAGTGTCAGTCAGCATCTTACGAATACAGGCAATGAGACAGGGTAAAAAGATACACAGCGAAAATAAACCAAAAAGGGCAACGATACAAATAATAATGATCTTTCTTGACCATGATGGTAAATTTGGTATTTGCAGCCAATCGAAGAGGCCGTCGAGTCCTTCACTCCGTGTTTGCTGAATATCACGGACCAATTTCTTAAGCTGGTTGATGCTCTGGTGTATCGATTCTGCATGGTCGGAGAAATTCATGCAACACATGCCTTCAAATTCTTGGCACCCATGGCCATGTGCCAAGAGAAGGAAATCAATAGCCGCTCTATTTTGAAGGCTGACCTCTTTTAACTTTTGGGTATCCGCCAGTAAACCCTCTATTGCTACCGTTGTAGCATTCGCTTCTTTGGTCAACCAGCAACCCAAGTGTGTTAAAAGCGAGAGAGCGTGTGCTGTCCCAATTCCAGGAATAGGGAAGGATGCCCAGAAGTTTTTTACCCGTGACCAGATATGAATGTTGGAATCACAATCCTCTGGGAAGGGCAGAGGTGTTGGCCAATAATGAGGTTTTCCAACATTGACATGTGGTGGCGGTGGAACAAATGTATCTTTGGAGCCAGATTGTAGGGAGACTTTTGAATTCTGGGTCAATTCTATCTTTTGATTTGCAATTGTTTGAGGTCTGGCTGGTTCTGGGGGGAGTCTCCAATTCTCTACTTCTTTTTGGACATTTGGGAACCAGCTTCGCTTTACTCTAAGGGACCTTTTAGCATCGATTTTGGAAAATAGTAGTTCGTTATCTAATTGAAACTTCGCCGGGTTGAAAAGTGCAAGCTTTCCTACCATGCAGGGTCCTCCCTCCGGGTAGGCTCTAATCCCTGGCCATGCCCGATCTCTGCACAGCAGGAAGTATCCCTTCGGAAGCCGCATGTTCCGAGGAACATGCTCCGTTGGGATAGTGGTGACCACGGAACCGTTGCACCACGGCGAAGTGGTCCCTTGGTAAAGCTGTTTGTTTGCGGTCACATTGAGGGGATTGAACAGAACTGGTTGAGTGTATCGGTGGAAAATCACACACGCAGAAGTGGGGAGCGAACCTAAAAGGTCAATTTCTTGAAAAGGGGTGTCCGTAAACGTAAGTGCCGCTATTGCCTGCGCTAGATTGGGGGAGTTTAAGGGTAGGGATCCCTTGCTTCGAGTTTGGGACACGAAAGTGCCCCACTCGGCCGGTGTAACAGGGATCCCTATGAGGCAGGTCTTAAATGGACTACTTGCGCTGGCCAAGGACAGGCACATGGTGTCCGTGCCTGTGGCCTTGGCCAGGGTTACCCATAAGTTCTCGCTCGGTTGGTTCATCCATTCTCTGATGGGTACGGTCTCGTTGAAAGGGACGAATCCAACGATGATGATGAGCGAAGTGATGAGACGCAGTAGGTTCATGATCGGTGTCACTGTCTTCACGCTTGGAAGATCTTTATCCTGCGTGCGGGGACCCACTTTGGTCCTTCAGATCCTGAAATACAGGCGTAGCCCTTCCCCCAGGTGATCAAGGGGAAAGGGCCCGTCCAGGTTTCTGTTAACGGATCTTTAAACATGACTTTAGCCTTCTCTGGGTTTGATGTGGTTATATTCGATCTAAAATGACGGTCTGCTGGACTTCTGTTTATGTGAGTTTCTGATTCCTCCAGCATATTCAAAAAATTTAAAACATACATAATTTTATCCAATCGTTCTTGGGGGGACAGGCCAATACTCCCCCTCTTTTGTTTTTTAAGCAAATTTTTTATGTTTTGGTGGGCACGCTCTACGATACCCTGTCCTGTGGGATTGTGAGGGATTCCGGTGGTATGGTGCACTCCCCATTGTTCGAAGAACCACTTTGTGTCTGCAGACACATAGGAGGGTCCGTTGTCTGTTTTTACCTGTTTTGGGACACCCATCCTCGCGAATGCAGACAAAAAGTGTCTCTTTACATCACGGCTCTTTTCACCAGAATGCGCGGTGGCTACTATCATTTTTGAATACGTGTCAATAGACACATGCACGTACTTCAACTTGCCAAATTCTGGTACGTGCGTAACATCTGATTGCCAAATTTCTAACGCCGAGAGTCCCCTTGGGTTGGTCCCCTCCGGTGCGACCGGCGTGATAACTTGACAATCAGGGCAAGTCTTTAAAATTTCTCTTGCCTGTGATAATTTAAGGCCGAATTGTTTTTGCAACGATCGAGCATTCTGATGGAAGAACTCGTGAGAGATCTTCGCCTGTTGGAATAAATTGGGAGTGACAGCCATACCTGCCAGATGGTCGGCAAGTCGGTTTCCCTCCGCCACAGGACCTGGTAGGGTAGTGTGTGACCTGGTGTGGACAACGAAAAATCCGAATTCTCTGCTTTGAATAAGAAACAACAATTTGGTTAGCAGTTTAAACAAGTTCTGATTTGTTACTTCTTTTAGATATGAATTTTCAATCCGTTTGACCACACCACATACATATGCCGAATCTGTGACTAAATTAATTGGCTCACCACTGAAAATTTCGAAAGTGCGTACAACTGCGGAAAGCTCCACGATTTGGGGAGAACCTTGTACTTTATGAATATCTTGTTGCCAATTACCATTTTGTTGCCAAATTATGACCGCATTTCCGGTTCTGCCTGAGCCATCGGTAAAAAACGTTTTTGCACCTTTTATCGGTAAATCTGATTGTACAATTTTTAATTTTAGTGGAATTGGAATTAATCTTTGAATAAAAGGGCACGCCGGGAGGTTGAGCCGAATTTCTCCCGGGTAGCCTCCGATGGCAATTTGAAAATCAATGGAGGTTTGCGGCAGTTGCTCTAGGTGTTCAGAGGTCAGTGGGAGATAGATAAAATTTGGTTCTTCACCACTGAGCTCTAAGCACCTAGTGCGCCCTTTAAAGATTACTTTGCCAATCATTTCTGCGACGGTGGTGATCGTCTTACCGAATTGGTGCGGGAGGAACACCCACTCCCACAAACAGAAGTCTTTGCCGTCATTTGAAAATTGACCTAAAAGAGCTAACGGTTGTTTCTGCTCTCTAATAATGATAAGGGAGGTAGGCAGTCCCTCCACCTTCCTGTGCGATTGTCGTTGCATGATTTTCTTTTCAACAGTAGATAAGGCGATGTCTGCTTGTGGTGTTAAAAAACGGGGTGAGGACAGGTCAGCATCTCCTTTTAGCAGCTCAAAGAGAGGGTGCAAATCACCGGTTGTGATCCCCAGCACAGGTCGAATCCAATTGATCGCACCCAGTAGTTTTTGGAGGTCATTCAACGTGCGGACTCGTTTGTCAATTTCTATCGCTTGGGGCCTTATGGCCCTTCTTGTAATTTGGAGTCCTAAATACCTCCAAGGTGCTTCCCTTTGTACTTTTTCAGGGGATATTTCCAATCCTTTTTCTTTTAGAGCCATAATAGTTGAATTTAGAGTCTTGTCAACTGCTAATTGAGATTTGGCGCAGATCAACACATCATCCATGTAATGGAAGATGATTGACTGCGGATATTTTTGCCGAATTGGCCTCAACACTTCTGCTACAAACATCTGGCAGAGTGTTGGGGAATTTTTCATCCCCTGGGGAAGCACACGCCACTGGAACCTGCGGTGAGGTTCACAAGCATTGATTGCAGGGACTGAGAATGCAAATCGGACCGAATCAGCCGGATTAAGATAGATATGAAAAAAGCAGTCCTTAATATCAATCGCCACTAGGGGCCATTCAGCAGGGAGCATGGATGGTGACGGCATTCCCTGCTGGAGGGCTCCCATTGGTTCCAGGACTTTATTAACTTTGCGCAGGTCCTGGAGAAATCTCCAGGAACCTGAGGATTTTTGAATGACAAACACTGGAGTGTTCCAGGGACTGGTGGAAGGCTCCAGGTGTCCTTTTGCCAATTCCTGATTTACTAAGTCATTTAGGGGCCTCTAGTGGTCTAGTGGTTAGGGTGCAGGACTCTCACCGCTGCGACCCGGGTTCGATTCCCGGCCCCCCGGGCAGATGGAGCTCGTCAGCCCTGTAAGGCAATCCATCTAAGAGAAGGTCACTCTAAACAAACCTACGTTCTGAGACCCTCACTGCCACTGTCCAAGCGTGCTTGGCCCCGGCAGATGAACCTCAGGATTAAAGGGTGGGCTCAGTTCAGCGCACGCTGTGTCTCACCTAAAAAATCCACTGCGCAGGCTCGAAGGGTTAATGACCCTTCCCAAATCTTTGCTCGCGAAGACTGGCCATTATTATTATAAGTCATTTAGAATTTGCAGCTTTTTTCTCGGTAGGGGCCACTGATCAACCCAGACTGGCGTTTCGGTCTTCCAGCTCAGTCTGGGGAGCTGCGGCACTTCAGTGACCCCACCTAAAAATTTTGTTCATGGGACAGGGTGCTCAAATTGAGCTCCCACTGTTCCATGGCGTCCCTTCCCCAAAGTGTAATCGGTATGTTCAAAATGTATGGTTGGAGGGATGCTGGTCTGCCCTCTGGCCCGTAGACGGTAAGTACTACCTTACTCCTGACTGGAAATTGAGTTCCCCCCACGCCGCTGACTTGGACAAAGGCTGTCTCCGCAGGCCATCCGTGCGGCCAGTCCTTAGAGGCTATGATGGTAATGTCCGCTCCCGTGTCCAAGAGGCCTTCCACTTTGACCTTCTGCGGCTGTCTAGGCTGTGAAAAATAGACCAAACATTTTAGCAGAGGGCGAGAAGACTTAACAGTGGTTGCCCAATGGACTTCCTGTTGCTGTCTTCTCTGCTCCTCATCGGTCGACAGGACACACAGCAGGTCTTCAATGGAGACCATCTTGGCCACCGGGAACTGGTCCTCTAGCTGGACGGGGGGAAGATGAACCATTAAACATATTGCAATGTTATTATTGGAAAGACCAGTCAGGAGTGTTGGTACAACAACAATTCCCTTATCTACTGCTGAAAAATGTGAAATTATAAGGTAGGTCAAATCCGGGTTCACTGGGGCTGATGGTGTGACCCTGGCTAACTGTTCGTAAGAGCTTAGGTGAGTGGAGGGGTGCACGACTGACAAAATTATCCAGGGGAGTGGGGAACGTTGGTCGCTTACCGGGACCGGGTCAGGGAGCTGCCGCCGGGCTACGGGGTAACTGGGCGCGATGGTTGGCGCAGGATGGAGCGCAGTGCGGGGGCCATTTGTGTCATCACGCTCCCCCTGGCGCTCTGCTCCCCGTTTCCCGACGGCTCACACTCACTCGACCTCAGATCCGGCAGCGATGAAAAGGTGACTCTTTTTCTCATCCTAGGTGAATGACACGGAGAGAGGGGCTCGCCATTTACATCAGTGGTGGAGCGGCATGTCGAAGTCCAATGCCGCCCCTTTCCACACCTCTTACACAGGGTCTTTGGGAGATCTGGTGTAGACGCTGACAGGCGAGGACAATGTTTTCTAAAGTGCCCCTTTTCCCCGCATTCAAAACAATGATTTGGTCCTGAGAACACTGCAGCTAATAGACGCGCTTTATGGGAGTTCGACCCTACGTTTTTGCACGCTTCAATCATCTCCAGCAGAGTGGGCTCTTTCAAAAGCTTCAATGCTTTTTGGCAGTCCTCATTACCCTTTTCGATGACCAATTTGTTAAATAGAATTTCTTGGCATTCTTTTTGAGGAACCTGCCTGGCAATAGCCTCTTTAAGCCGAGTTATAAAATCTGTAAAAAGCTCTTTTGGGCCTTGATTAATCATTGTGAAAGAAGGGGTGGGCACATACGCGTCCGCCACCTTCTTTAAGGCCCCTAATGCCAATTCCTTACTTTTATCTAGAATTTTGGGGTCTAATCTCGTTTGAGCTCCTCTGCTAGAGTAGTCTCCCTCTCCATAAAGCATGTCTATTGCTTGCTTTGGGGCTACCCTTCTCCCCCCCGTCCGGTCATTCACATAGGTGACAATGTTCCTTTTCCACTCCGTTTCAAACGCTGAAACCTGGACGGTCGTTAGCAACCCTCCAATCACCGCTCTAACATCGAACGGTATCAAAGTATAAGCCAGAAAGAAAGACTCTAATAAGCCAGTTGTGAAGGGGGCACCCAACCCATATTCTACTATGGCCTTCTTTATATCTTTCAACATAGGATATGATATTGGTTTCCATTCGGGCTCCCTCCCTTCATCGTAATATACAGGAAACGCGCGTAGAAACTCTATATCTTGGGCGCCCGTGGCCTCCTCCCGGAAGGCCTTCCACACATCCGACCGCTGCCTTTCCGGGGAGCACGGCACCCAGTCCAAATCCAGGTCAGAGTAGCGGCAGGCGGGGTAGGCCTCAGTGTCTCGGGCCTTATGGGCGCGGCCATCTTGGCGGATGTTAGATTTGGCCTTTGCCCTGGCCCCACCCACTGCTCCCCTTGGCTTCCGGGAGGGTGACGTGTCGGGGGAGGAGACTGGACTGGTGGAAGTGGGCGTGGTGGAAGACGCGTCAGAGGAGGGGCTTCGCGTGCGTGTAGGCGGGGACGGAGGCGGCCTAGAGGGTGGAGCTACAGGGGCCCGCCTCCGTTTTTCCCACGCCAGTCCTTCCCGGGAACCTCCCTTCTTCCTGCTGTCGCGATCCCAGGGCCCCGCCTCCTCGACGCCATTTTCCGATCGACACTTGTTCTTTCGCGCCCTCCCGCCATTTTGTGAGTCTGACTCTGTCTCCTCCCTCCCGCCATTTTGTGTGATCGCTGGAATGTTCTTCTCCCTCCCGCCATTTTGTGAGTCGTTTCCAGTGTTGTTTGTAGTGTCCTTTTCAATGGTGTCAATGTCCTTGTCCGTGTTCTTGGTGCTTTCTGAGTTTTTCTTGGAGATATCAGCGTCTTTGTTGTTAGTGCTGACGTTCTTGTTCATCATTTGGTGCTGTAGCACCATCAGAACAAGCCTCCAGGCTAAGATCGCCTTTTTCCCGAGCTGGTCACCCTTATCGCCCGCTCGCCACAGCTGGAAGCCTATGGCTTCCCACTGCTCGACTGTGGTGTCTTCTGTGATTTTGAGTTTGCGTTGTTCTAACCATTTGGCGAGGGCTTTCGCGGATTTCTTATCGAGCGGGTGACCATGCTCTATGATATAGTCTTTCAGGCGACGGTAAATAAATTTTTCGGAGGTAGAGAGAGTCATGCCCATGATGGTAAGTCGGCTGTGAGACTGCTCTCCGATGTTACTCCTCCTTTTTCTTAAAATATGTTACAGGGTGGGTGCTGGGTGAAGGTATTAGGGATGTCCCCTGCAGCTCACCTTTCCAGGCGCGCGACCCGTGCGACTCGTAGAAGTCCACAGCCGTCAGCTTTGCAGAGGAGGGTTGGCGGAGCGATCTCCCCTCCTGGAGATGCTTGAGCCCAATTGGCAGCACAGGAGTTCCTCTGATACAGAGGACCTCTACTGTGCCCCACGTTGGGCGCCACTTGCCACAACCCGGGGGTAAGGAATGGGGTTGAGCACTGCAATAAGGGTTCTTGGCACAGAGAGGTCTGGTGAAGCAATGCCAAAGTTTATTTGAGGGGTAACAGCTTATATAGGGTAGGTTCAGGGGTGGAGTTTGGGCTAGGGAGGAGCATGAGATTGGCAACCCAGGGATGAAGGTAATTGGGTAACTGGGAAAGGAGGGGAGGAGTTTTAGGTGTGGCTAGGGAAATGGGCCAATGGTAGCTGCCTCTGCATTGCACCAAACACTGACCAATGGCAGGCAGAGGAGCGGGAAAACGGGTTTTGGCGGGAAAACTGTGAGGGGAAGAAGAAGACAATATGGAGGATAATTTTTTGAAACAACAACTGGGGTACAAACAACAGCAAACCCGTACAATAACGCAATTGGGGAACTGGGGATAAACTTGGGGTAACAGATATGACTGTCCAGTCCGTATATAAGTCCAGTTCGTTAAATATTTGTCTTAATCTGGGTTGTAGACTTGTCTCCATGCCTCATACTGTCTCTTTTCCTCCTCGGAGACCCCAACAGGCAGGGATGCCACTCCCTACACTAGGTTGCTCAAAGTCCCATCCAGTCTGGCCTTGCACATTTTGAGGGATGGGGCATTCACAACTTCTCTGGGCAACCTCTTGCAGTGCCTCATCACCCTCACAGTAAAGAATTTTTTCCTAACATCTGGTCTAAACCTGCCTTTTTCTGGTTTAAAACCATTGTTCCTTGTCCCATTACTATCTGCCTATCTAAAAAGTCCTTCTACCTCCTTTTTATAAGCCTCCTTAAGGTATAAGAAGGCCAAAATGAGGTATCCTTGGAGTCTTCTCATGTCTGGGCTGAACAGCCCCAGGTCTCTCAGCCTGTCTTCATAGGAGAGGTGCTCGACCCCTCTGTTCATCTTTATAGCCCCTCCTCTGGACCTGCTCCAACAGATCTGTGTCTTTCTTGCGTTGAGGACTCAGAGCTGGATGCAGTAGTCCAGGTGGGGTCTGATGAGGTCAGAGTAGAAGGGCAGAATCACCTCCCTCAAGTTGCTTTCCATGTTGCTTTTAATGCAGCCCAGGATGCAATTGACCTTCTGGGCTGTCAGTGCACACTTTTGGCTCATGTACAGCTTTTCAGCCATGAGAACCCCCAAGTACTTCTCCACAGAGCTGCTCTCAGTGACTTCTTCCAGCCTGTACTTATGTCTGGGATTGCCCCAAGCCAGGTGTAGCACCTTGAGCTTGGACTTGTTAAATTGCATGAGGTTCTCATGGAACCAGTTCTCAAGTTTTTCCAGGTGCCCCTGGATGGCATCCTGTCCTTCTGTTGTGTCAACTGCACCACTCATCTTGGTGTCATCTGAAAACTTGCTGAGGGTGCACTCAGTCTCAGTGGCTGTCACTGAGGAAGACATTGAAAAGCACTGGTCCCAAGACCCTGGGAGACACCACTCATCACCGACCTCCACCTGGATATTGACCACAACTTTCTGTCTGCATCAATTCCTTATCCACTGAATTGTCCATCTATCAAATCCACACATCTCCAATTTGGAGATAAGGAACTCATGTGGGACTGTATTGAAGATGTTACAGAAGTCTAGATAGATAACATCAATTTCCTGTTGGTCCTACCTTGTCAACTGTTGCTGTCACTCCATCATAGTTGCCTACTCTTCACTCTGTTCTGTACAATATAAATGCAAAAAGATATTGAAATATATACAGAAATATGCAAAAAGCATAAGCAATCCACAAGGATCTTCAAGTCCAACTCTTGGCCTTACACAGGACCATCCCCAAGCGTCACACCACGTGCCTGAGTATTGTCCAAATGCTTCGTGGTTTGGTGGTGTGACCACTTCCCTCAGGAACCTGTTCCGGTACCAGACACCCTCTGGGTGAGGAACTTTTTTCTAATATCCAACCTAAACCTCCCCTGACAACTTCAAGCCTTTCCCTCGGATTGTGTCACTGGTCACCACAGAGAAGAGATCAGTGTTTTCCCCTCCTTTGGACACTCTCTAAGAGCTTAATATCTTTCTTATATTGTGGTGCCCAAAACTGCACACAGTATTCAAGGTGAGGCCACACTAGTGCAGAGCAGAGCGGGACAATCCCCTCCCTTGACTGGTTGATGATGCTTTGCCTGATGCCCCCCAGGATATGGTTGGCCCTCCTGGCTGCCAGGGCACTGCTGACTCAGATTCAATTTGCCATAGAACAGGATCCCCAGGTTCTTTCTGTGGATCAGCATCTCATTTCCCAATCTGTACATACATCCAGGGTTGCCCCACCCCAGGTGTGGAATCCATCACTTTCCCTTGTTGAACTTCCTGTAGTTGGTGATTTCCCAGTCTCTCTGCAGGCCCTCCCTCCCTTCGAAGGAGTCAACAGCTCCTCCCAGTTTTGGGTCATCTGCAGACTTGCTTGGTATCCCTTCCAGCCCTGTGTCCAAGTCATTTAGGAAGATGTTGAAGAGCACAGAGCCTAAGATGGAGCCTTGTGGAACCCCACTAGTAACAGGTCACCACTCTGATGTCACCCCATTCACTATTACCCTCTGTGCTCAATCCCTGAGCCAATTGTTCACCCACCACATGATGTGTTTATCCAACTGTGTGCTGGACATTTTGTCTAGAAGGATCCTATGACAGACAGCATTGAAAGCTTTACTGTAATCCAAAAGATTACATCAACTGGCTTCCCTTGATCAGATACTTGGGTTACCTAGTCATAACATGAAATCAAGTTTGATAAGCAGGACTTTCCTCTCAGATGTGGTGGTTGTGACCAATGACTGCATTGTCTTTCAGGTGTTTTTCAATACCTCCCAGAATAATATTCTCCATAAGGCACTGAAGTGAGGCTGACAAGCCTGTAGTTTCTGGGGTCCTACTTCTTGAAAATCTGGACAACATATGTTAGTTTCCAATCAGCTGGAACCTCTCTAGATTCCCAAGACTGCTCAAAAATTATATAGAGAGATTTTGCACTGACATCAGCCAGTTCTTTGAGGATTCTTGAATGAATCCCATCAGGCCTCATAGATTTGTAGGGATCCAGCTGAAGCAGCAGATCCTGCACAATTTCAGGGTCAACAAGGACTTGACCATTCCCACAGTCACTGTCCTCCAGTTCAGGGCACTGAGACCCCCCCCTTGGTGTGTCGTCCAAACTTCTTATTGGGAACGGTTCCTTGACCATGACAAACATTGTGATTCTTCTGGAAATGGCTGGTAAGACTGCCAGTCAGTCTAAACTAAAGTTGTACCAGGAACATATTCTTAACACTATAGCTTCATCCTATTTAATGGACTGATTATATCTTGACCATGCTGGGTTCTACAGAAGTACACAATGAGATAAGGTTCCTGGAAATCTCTGTACTTTAGTGTCTTGGCATGAACAGAAAGCATGAATTTGCAAAAGCAAAGTCAAAATGTTTTCCTTACATTTTCAAACCCTTCTTTATGATTGTATTTTCTAAGAGACATTATATAAATAATTTTCAATTCAATTTATTCAGATAAAATTCTCAGATGAATCATAGAATCATAGAATAATTTGGTTTACAAGAGAACTTTAAAGGTCATGTAGTCCAACCTCCCCTTGCCATGAGCAGGAACATCTTCAACTAGATTATATTGCTCAGACTTTAATGTTACCAGGGACGGGACATCTGCCACCTCCCTGGGCAACATGTTCCAGTGCTTCACCACTTTCATCATAAAAATTTTTTTTCTTCTAATCAAGAACTGCCCTCTTTTAGTTTAAAATCGTTACCCATTGTCTTATGGTTGCAGATCCTACTAAAAAAATCCATCTTGATCTTTTTTATAAGATCCCTTTAAGTACTGGAAAGCTGCAATAAAGTTTCTTTGGAGACATCTCTGCCACGCTGAACAATTCCAACACTCTCAGCCTTTCCTTATAGGAGAGGTGATTCATCTCTCTAAGTATGTTCATGGCTTTCCTCTGGACCCACTCCAAAAGGTCCATATTTTTAGTATTCTGAGAATAGCTTCTTCCACCAGAGATCCATTGCTTTCACTATGATTATTGATTAAATCTTTAAAAAATAACTTTAAATATTTGAATGCTGAAGCCAAACATTAGATATAAAACAGGAGTGTTCCCTGTATGTTGTTGTCACTAGTTACATTATGAATTAAAAGAATAGCAACTCCTTTGTGATGTATTGCACTAATTCAACTCCCTTATGATAGATTGGAGCAATACATAACCCAAAAAGAGGCATTTTGCAGATTGGTTCCTCAAGAAACAGAAGAGTTTGGAAATAAAGAATCCAAGGTAGTCAATAAATAGTAATTATAAAACTTAATGGAATATTTGAGGAATAGTTTTGCTGACCAGATGGAAGAAAGAGACTATGAACAAACAGATTGGTAAATAGTTCATCAGCCATTAAAATTCTTCAGTGAGATGGTCTGTGAAGGTCTATGCTTCAATTATTTTCATCCTTGGGGCCCCTGGTGGTCTAGTGGTTAGGGTGCAGGACTCTCACCGCTGCGACCCGGGTTCGAGGGGCCCCTGGTGGTCTAGTGGTTAGGGTGCAGGACTCTCACCGCTGCGACCCGGGTTCGAGGGGCCCCTGGTGGTCTAGTGGTTAGGGTGCAGGACTCTCACCGC